TGGGCACTTGACCTTATTGTCAGATCCCTGAGAGTCTCTGAGTCTGTATTCACAACTATTGGTTGGAATGAGAGGTTTCTCTAATCAGGGCTCAGAGTAGTATTTGGAAGTAGTTTGATGCTGTCAATTTAGCTAAGCAAAAAGAATTAGGTAGATCCCTAGGACCTACAGCACCTACCTCTACCCCATCTTCCCAGCTGTTGATTTTTGACTAGGGTTATGGTACCAGGCATGGATTCCCCCAAGTGGACAAAGCCTTAAAGCAAATCAGAGAGTAAGTGGTTGCCTATCTCCTTAGCAGTCATGCATGTTACTAGTGCACAAGAGTGCTTATCTTACTTGCAGGTTGGCATTGTATGTAGACTGTTGATGCCCTTTCTCCTCTGGTACCCTGAATGGTACCTTCTGGTGCTATGAAAGCTAGCCACTAGGGGGAAGCTTCCACCTCAGTGCCAATCTATTGTCTTTATTCCTTGAGACCAATGTATGTGGTGTCTTCAGCAATAGGCTCATATTATTAAGTTCTGGTGGAAAAAGCCAGAGAAACAGGAGCAACTCTCAATCATTTTGTTGTTTTATGGGGGCCACCCGGACCAAGAACTTATAAAGAGCACTTCAAACCCAACACTGGGATTTCATTTAATAATAACCGATAGCTTCTAGGAGCAGCATTGGCCAGCCATGCATGACATGTGCCTTCAAATTTGTTTTTTTTAAAAAAATGTACTTTTAATTGATTTACAAGATAATAGTTTCCCATATGACCACATCATACATCTTTGGGTGTAGTCGACCCTCTCCCCACCCCTGGTCTCCCTTATGCAGTATTCCTCTTGTTGCTTAAACCTTTCCAGGACTGGTGTTCTCCCTCTCTACTTTCATATTACCATTATTCTACTATCTCCCCCACACCCCCACCCCTGAAAATGGCTTCTTTTTAGCTTCCTAGTTTCTAGGTGAACTTCAAGTTGAATACACAACAATTAGAAATTTGAAGCTAGGATTTACATGTGAGAATGAAATGTGGTGTTTGTGTCTTTGGGTCTGGGTTACTTTCAATCAATGTAAGTTTTACTGTTTCGTCTATTTACCTGCCAATCCCATAACGTAATTTTCCTGTACAGCTGAATAAAACTTCATTGTGTAGGCACCACATTTTCTTTGCCTGCTCATTAGTTGATGGGTATCTAGGCCAATTCCATTTCCTAGCTGCTGTGAATAGAAAAAAAAAAAGGATGGAGATGAGCAGCTGTCTCTGCAGTAGAGTCCTTTGGTTATACACTCAGGAGTGGAATAGCTGTAGCACATATAGTTTCATTTCTAGTTTTCTGAGGAATCTCCATGTTGATTTCCATAGTGGATAACAGTGAGAAATTGTTCTTCTCGACACCTTCTCCAGCTTTGTTTGTCATTTGATTTGATTTCTTGATAATAATCATTCTGTAATGGGAGAGATAGAAACTCAAAGTAATTTTAATTTTCATTCCCTTGATAATTAAGGACTGAACATTTTCAAAATGTTTGTTAGCTATTTGTATCTCCTTTCTTTGAGACCTCTTTCCTCAGATCTATAGCCTGCTTTTGACTTGGTTGTTTGTTTTCTTGATGTTTTATGTTTCATTTTTTGTTGTGATTTTTCAATGATATTAGTTTTCTGTCCAAGGGTACATGGGAAAAAATTTCCCTCATTCTGTAAGCTGTTTTTTATTTCACTCAATTGACTGTTTTCTTTGCTGTATAGAAGCTGATTTGGAGTTAGTTTTTAATGAAGGTGAGAGATAAAGGTCTAGTTTAATTCTTACATGTAGACATGATCCAGTTTTCCCAACATTATTTGTTGAGGATGCTGTATTTTCACCAATGTGTATTTTTGTTTTTTTCAACAAAAAAAAACCCCAAAGACAAAATACAAACAAACAAACAAAAACCAATCAGTAGATGGGTGAACTTAGATATGAATTTTCTATTCTATTTCATTGATCTACATGTGCTATCACTACACTGCTTTTATTATTATTTTATGGATGCTTCCAGCATTATTCTTTTTTCTTAGGATTATATTGGATGTACAGATTTTTTATGTTTACATACGAATTTGAAGATTTTTTTTAATCTAGTTCTTTGAAGAATGGCATGGCTATTTTGATTGGGGTTGCATTGATTGAATCTGTACATTGCTTTTTGTAAGCTGGTCATCTTTATAATGTCATTTCTTCTACTCTGTCAGCATGGGAGGTCTTTGCATCTTTAGTGTCTAACATCATTTCTTTCTTTTAAATATTTAAAATTTCTCTTGCTTAGTTTTGCTCCAAGCTTTTTCCCCCTTTTATTGAAAATAGATTTTTTTCATAGAACATATTCTGATTACGGTTTACTCTGCCCCTAATCCTCTCAGTTCCTCCCCACCACTCCTCCCATCCAGAGCCAGAAGGATGGAGAACAAGAAGGGAACAGGCCTTTGAAACACAGTTTGAATGATGTACACTCAAACTCACAGAGATGGAGGCAGCATGCTCAAAGCCTGCAGGAAGCTGCACCAGATGGGGTCCAAGAACAGAAAGGAGATGTGAATACATGCCCTTATCTCTAACTCAAAAAACTATATCCAGTTGAAAACCAATTGCAAATAAAAAATTAGTTTTCTCCAAGGAAGGCTTACTGGAGAAATAAACTAATCTCTGTCTCACAAAATGAACTCAACAGCATAGTTGAAAAAGTTTTAAGTTCTTTGTCTTATAATGTTGAGTTAAAGCATTTCTTTAAACCTTACAAGTCCTTTGTGTATCTACTGAGGCTTCAGGTTTTGTTTTTCTGAGATTCCTATGTGTTTAAATGTGTGTGTGTTGCATCTCTATATATTTCTTGTGCTTTTTCTTTGGCTCTTTTTCTTCTGTTTGTTTTGTCCTGCTCTGATTTGCATGTTTTTGCTTTATTGTATTATTACTCCTTAGATGCCTTTTTGTTTCTAATGAAAGACAGAAATAGTGTGTTATTGCTTTGTGTGTTCATTTTGTTTTATTTTATTTTTCTCTATGATGAATGAGAGCAGCCCCCCAATTTCTCATTCAATGTGTTTGGCCTTGGCGTGTAGAAAGGCTACTAATTTTTGTTTTAATTTTGTATACTGAGATTTTGCTGAAAGTTTAGTGACTTCTAGAAGTTTTCTGGTGGACTCATTACATATTTTAAGCACAGCATCAAATTATTGGCCGACAGGGAGAGTTTGACTTAGTTTCCTATTTGTATCCTTTTTATTTCCTTTTTACCTTCTTGCTTGAGCTAAGACTTCTCATACTCTATTGAACAGGAGGGCAGCAGTGTGAATAAAAAGCCCCATTTGCCCATTCTTTAAAAGGACTGCATCAATTTATTCTCCATTTACCATGCTGTTAGCACGGGCTTGTCATACATCACCTTCATTTTGTTGTGGTATGCATTCTCTAAACCAATCCTCTCTAGGACTTTTACTGTGAAATGATGTTGGATTTCGTCAAAGACCTTTTCTGCATTTGTTAAGATGAGCATGTGATTTCCGTTTTTAAGTCCACTGATAGGATTTATTACACTTACTTGTTTGCCGTCTTCTGGGACAAAACCAGAATCATAATTTTTTTTTTTTTTGTGGTCCTCATCTCCAGTGAAATATATAGTACCTTTCATAATCTCACCTCTAAAAATACTCCTCAAAGTTGCCATTTGATGCCTCCTTTTACCTTCTTCGCTGAGGCAGTATCTTAACCTCGAGTCACTGTCCTTGCACTAGTCTCTGATTCTGTTTTACAGGGATGTGTGAACCTATTGGGTTTCTAGACTGTGTCAAGGCACTGGGCTAAGTACAAGGCAGTAAAGCTAAAGATCCTAATCCTTAAATTTGGAGAGCGTAGTTTATCATAGAGGTGTGGTATTGCTTAGCCTTTTCCCTTTTGTTTTTATTTATTGTTTTCTAATTCCATTTCTCCTATGTTCTATTTTTTTATATTTAGTGAGAGAAACACAGTAGAAACAATTAAGGACTTGGAGTGTTTTATACATAGCACTTGCATACAGTGTTCTGGTTTGTTGGGTGAGATTCTGAATCTCATTCTCAAATTTTTCAAGTACAGTTGTCTCCAAGTGTCTTTGGGTATTGGTTTTTCAGCTTTCTACATAGACACCAAAATTTGAAGATGTTTAAGACTGTTTCTAAAATGGCAGTGTATTTGTACATATTTTTTATGCTTCCTATCTGTAGCTTGGTGTCTCTAAGTATCTCTTGATGACTTACAATGTCTAATGAAGTACAAAAGCTATGCAAATGGTTGTATTTATTGGATAATAAAAAGTTCCCATACATGTTCATGGTTTACACATTTTCAAAATGTATTTGATTCTCAGTTGGTTAAAGGCTCAGATGCATGGATAGCCTAGAGGAAAATAAAAATACTACACAATTTTAAACATGCTGTAATACTTTCAAAAGCACTGTTATTTGTTTGGTTAGAATATATGCTTCCTTTCCTAAAGTTTATTTTTATTATTTTAAATTATGTATTTTTAATTGGGGGGAGGGCAGTATTTACACATCCGTGCAGTGCCTACAGAGAAAAGAGGCATTGGATTCCTCTAGAAATAAAGTTATAGCACTGTAAGCCACCGGACATGGGTGTTGGGAACTCAACTTAGCTGTTGTACAAGCGAAGTGTATGCCCATAACACTCTGAGCTGTTGAACCACTGCTACAGTCTCTGCCTGCTAATTTCTGCTTTGTTCTCATGGCCCATTCCAAGTTCCTCTCTTCTTAAAACCATAACAGAAATCATTTCCGGAAAAATTTTGAGATCTTTTAAAGAGAATCTTTAGTTTGCTAAAAGATCAGTTAATTAAACAAATAAACAGCACACACCCCCCAAATAAGCTTGTCCCCCAAACTCCACCCAAATACAAAACCTCAATAATTTTTACCCAGGTGGCTATAAAAAGTGGTTGTTAGCTTCACATTAATACTTCTCTGTTGCTAATAGGTACACACTGGTGGATATTTTGCGTGCCATCTTACTTTCTTTAGAAGCCATGATTGAAGATCCAGAGCTGCAAGTAAATGGATTTGTTTTGATCATAGACTGGAGTAACTTTACCTTCAAGCAAGCTTCTAAGCTTACACCAAGCATGCTTCGACTTGCCATTGAAGGCCTTCAGGTAAGGATATGCTGATATCATTTCCTTGTCTCCTGTATTTTACTTGTCTAATATGTTAGAATATGGGATGCCTTGTGGAATGATGAAAGCAAAACCCAAAAAAGTATAGTTGTATTTTAGCACAAATCTTAAAGAAAATAATGGACCAAAAGATTGAACAAGGAAAGCACAGGGTGGGGGAGGGGAGGCCTGTGATTTATGAAATGAGTCTGCTCTAAGTCTACGCATAAGTGCTAGGGTTGAATGGGAAATTTGTCTTGATAGCCAGAACATGCATTGGTTTTGATGTATTAGTATTTAGGCTTGTTTTTTGTTTCATTTCATTTTCTGTGATGTTAAAATGTTGCTTAATGACTCTATTAAGCTAGTGTATTTGAGACTGAATCATATTGTCTTGTATATAATTAATAATCAATGACTTTACTGCTCCTTAAGGTATAGAAATCTTTGTTTTGAAATATTTCTTTATATATAATAGGAGTTATTGCTTTCTTTCTCTTTGTCAGTAGAAGGGGTGGTAATATGGAAGCTATGCAGCAATAGTGCATCTTCTATGGAAAAATATTAAACTTGTTGGGAATTAAAAAGTGGGAAATGAGTTCTTATGCGTGCCTTTCATAATCTTGCTATTGGTAAGTTCTTGTTAACTTTCAGGATGCCCTCTACTCACTCATTCTCTCTACTGTGTTCTACTTGCATAATTTGTGGAATTGGTTTTGAGCTCCTAGAACATTTATAAGTTCACTAAGATGATATTATTCAGTATTTATTACCTGTATTCCCAACACATATTCTAGAAGTATGCACATTAACACTTTTATCAATCAGAATGTCTCCTATTTTAAAATAACAAATTATATACTTAATGTTCCCTTAGGAAAGATGCTACATTTTCTTTAAATGGTAAATAAACCTATATGTGTGTGTGTGTGTGTGTGTGTGTGTGTGTGTGTGTGTGTGTGATTCCACCCTTACTGATGTCTGCAGGCAAATTGATGACCACAGACCTCTTAACAATGTTCCCTTAGGAAAGATGCTACATTTTCTTTAAATGGTAAATAAACATATATATGTGTGTGTGTGTGTGTGTGTGTGTGTGTGTGTGTGTGTGTGTGTTTTCATCCTTACTGATGTCTGCAGGCAAATTGATGACCACAGACCTCTTAACAATGGGTGCCTCCTCCAGGCTGCCAGACATCTTAATCAAATTTAGTTCACAGTTTATGGCCTGCCTTTGTACTGAATAAGACACACTGATCTCCACATAGGTTTTTCCTGCAGCAAGTGTCCTGACTTGCTCTTGGTGAGTCAGCTCTGCTGATGACTTATCCTCTTATAACTCCATAGAGACAGTTAATCAGAACCGAGAGAGGGCAAGGATAATGCACATTGTACAATGTGCATGTCATGCATTCTGCCATTTTCTGGCAATCCATAAAGTGCTCTTCAACTTGCGAAGAAAACTGATTTTCACCAACTACCAATTAACACAGAATGATCACCTCACCAGTTATTATCTCTACTTAGCTAGGTCTCATTTTTATTTATATGGAAGCTGGAGTAGGCTTTGTGTTGTTCTACATCCAACACATGTTGCTTGGGAGTCTCTTCATAAGTCTTTGCTGGAAAACAAACAAGGATTTAAAGGAAATTCTTGTTGCGAGTATTGTCAGAGCTTTAAGTGCTTGGTGTGAACCTGGCAGGAGCTACAGTTAGCCAGATTAAAATTTTGTTTGAATCTAGAATGGGAAATAATCTCTATTCCCTGCAGAGGCTTTACTGTGCGTATGGGGCTTCTTTTTCTTTATTCCCCATAAACTACTCAGCCACCTATTTTTCCCCAAATATCAACACAGTGAACAGGCCTGAAACCTCCAGGCTGACAACCAGGAAATGTTTAAAAGACAAGAGATCTTCCCGAGAATATGTTTGACACATGTATTAGTTACTGTTCTGCTGCTGAGATAAAACATCATGACCAAGGCACATATGAGAGAAAGAGTTGATATGGTTTATAATTTCCAGGGGCTTAAAAGTCTATGATGGTAGAATGCAGGCATGGTGGCTTGAGCAGGAAGTTAAGAACTCACATCTTGAACTATAAACCTAAGCAGAGAGAAAAATAGAAATTGTGAGTCTTTAAATTTTCAATAATAAATTTTTGGAGCCTATTGCCTATGGTGGGACACCTTGCACAGCCTTGATGCATGGGGAGAGGCTTGGACCTGCCTCAACTGAATGTACCAGGCTTTTCTGACTCCCCATGAGGCCTTACCTTTTTGGAGGAGGGGATGGGGGTGGGTTGGGGAAGGGAAGGCTGGGGGGAGGAGGAGGAGGAGGGATGAGAGGGGGATGTGTGGTTGGTATGCAAAATGAATAAAAAAAATTTCTTAATAAAGACAAAAATTCCTTCCTGAAATTATCAATAATAAATTCTCAATAAATGACACTCCTCCTCCCACAAGACACTCCCTAAACCTAACCAAACAACCCTACCAACTGAGGTCAAACATGCAGACATCTGAGCCTGTGGGGGGGAGGTTACTGAACTGTAACTCCAAATTATCTTCAGTTCATATTGATTGTTTCTTGAATCTGTGTCTATACAACTACCTCTAAAATACTGTTGATTTTGCACCCTTAGATTGCTAAAAGTTTTCCATTATGACACACTTAAGCTTATAGTTTGTCTCATAGTGAAGTAATAAAATCTGACTTTTAAAATTAAGTCTCTGGTTTAGCTTGAATTTACAATATGGAAAAAAGACTGTTAATGAACATTGTTATATATTCCAATCAGGATATAATATGAACAATTTTCAAGATAAACATGAGTTGGAAACCTGTTTGGAACAGAGACACTCTATTTCAGACTGCTATCCTGATGACCATGAGAACCAAGAGTACCAGCAGTACCACAGATGTAAGCCCCTTCCCCCAACTAAACCACTCAAGGCAATTAAGAAATCTGAATGGTTTTAGTAACTTGGCAATAGTATACTCTAATTCTGCTTCATGTGACTTTTACTTAGATTAATATAAATAATATTCCAAGATGTTGAACCCAAAATAAGAAAGGCTACCAGTGAGCCTAATGGAAGATGGGAAACTAATTTTAATGAAAACTTTTATGAATGGATGTTATTGTTTTGAAGAGGTCCTGTCTCCCTTATTTTTGAGTCATCTATGTGGTGGTATTGTGTTCCCCAAAATATCATGTACCTTAATAAACTTATCTGAAGTTTATAGAAAAGCCACTAGTTAGGCAGAGATAGCACACACCTTTAATCCTAGCATTCCAGAGATAGAAATCCCTCTGAATCTCTGTGAGTTCAAGGCCACATTGGAAAAAGCCAAGCATGGTGACACACGCCTTTAATCCCAGAAAGCCAGCCTTTAATCCCAGAGAGTGGTGGTAGAAAGCAGAAAGATATATAAGGCATGAGGACCAGAAACTAGAAGTTTTTTGGCTGGTTAAGCATTTGGCCTGGTTAAGCTTCAGGCTTTTGAGCAGTAATTCAGCTGAGACCCATTCCGGATGAGAACTCAGAGGCCTCTTGTCTGAGGAGACAAGACCAGCTGAGGATCCAGCGAGGTGAGATAGCTGTGGCTTGTTCTGTCTCTCTGATCTACCAGCATTGACCCTAATAACTGGCCTCGGGTTTGATTTTATTAATAAGAACTTTTAAGATTCATGCTACACATCTATCTAATTTGTCTTTATATAACCAGCCCCTCTTTTTTTCCCCCTGAAGCAAACTAATTTGGGTGACCTCTATAGAGTTAGGATCTCATCCCTACTTTATACACATATATGGGAAGTACTATAGGTCTACCTGTGTACTGTGACCTACAGTAAAAGGTCAACTGAAAGAACATGAAAGGATGGATGCAGGAGTCAGAAAGAACTAGAACCAGATGGCAGTGCTGCCACTCATCAAGGACTTGTGAAATTACATACCTTGCCTGAATCTCGTTCTAGGTCTTTACACTAATCTGAAGTGTTATTGTGAACGATACATCTTGCACCTAGCAGGTGATACCTTAGCTAAAGTTGGTGTGGATCAGATGATTTTTTGGTAGCATGTTTTTTTAGTTATCAGGATGGACTGTTTCCTTTTTGAGAAATTTGAGAATTGCGAAATACAGCAATTTCTCAATTTTAGCTGTTGTTGTTGATTAACTTTGGGAATCTGAATAGTCTCTCTCTCTCTCTCTCTCTCTCTCTCTCTCTCTCTCTCTCTCTCTCTCTCTCTTCTTGGTGCTCATGTTGTATATAAATAATTACATTTTTACATGTTTCTTCCCCATGGTTAAATAGCATCTATACATTTCACAGTGGATATAAAATAAAATACTCTTTCAATTGGGAAGCCAGAGAAATAAAAAGAGATTATTTCCCTTGGAGCAATTTAGCATTTATTTCTTTGATGAAGCACTCCATCCACAGCTGAAAAGATGCTGTTTGTGAAGATAGTGTTGGCTTTGGAACTTGTGCAAAAGTTTGCTAAGGGAACGGACAAGAATGGGATTTAGGCAAGGGGACACTCAGAAAGTACTTTGAACAACACAACTCAGAACTAGGGAGAGTTGGGACTACATAATGAATCCATTCCCGTGTGATGGCAGGAAGAAATGAATTGAGGAAGATGAACGATGAACTTGGGGAGGCAGGCCATGATCTGGACCACTGGGATAGAAGAGTTCAAGTTAGTTCCTGTTTGATCACTTTTCCACTTTGGAGAGATTTTCTGAGTAGAAGAAGAAATACGGGGCAAAAGATTAAGAAACTGAATCTTGAGGACCCCCAAATTACCCTTACGTTAATCAAGTTCATTTACGGAGTGGGAAGTGAAACTTCAGTGAGTTTAAGGTACTTAGCCAAATTTTCTCAGTGGATACTTAGTGGTAAGAATAGTTACCAGAGTCTGGACATCAATGTCTTTACCAAGGATTCTGTTGTTATTGTTGATTCCTGGATTGAAACAAAGAAATATTCA